GGATACGTCGCACCATAATTTTATCTTTGTGCCAGGAACAGGGAGTTCTTGGAGTGTGAGGCCTGAGGGGGATGTCTTGTATGCTGCCAGGTCTTCGTCGTTCTCTTGAGCCGCGGCTAGCTGCCCATACTCAATGGGTGGAGATGAGGGAAGAATGTTAGATATACAACGAGAGAGGGCGTCGGCGATCTCGTTGTGGCTGCCTTTAATGTGTTGGACGTCGCTGGAGAACTCCGAGATGTAAGCCAAGTGGCGCAGGACACGAGGTGTATGTGACTGGGAAGCTGAAGCGAAGGCGTGGACGAGGGGCTTGTGATCAGTGAAGATGGTGAACTGACGGGCCTCGAGGAAGTGCTGGAAATGCTTGACAGCCAGGTATATGGCCAGGAGTTCTCGATCAAAGGCGCTGTACTTGAGGTGTGGTGGTTGAAGTCGTTGTGAGAAGAATGCAATGGGAGTGAGAATTCCGTTGATCTCCTGCTGTAAGACGGCGCCCACTGCAGTAGAAGAAGTGTCTGTTGTGAGAGTGGTCCGGGCGTTAGGTGCGGGGTGGGCCAGGAGGGTGAGGCGTGTAATGTGCTGTTTGATAGTGGTGAATGCCGTAGCAGCCTCTTGAGTCCACACAAGAGGCTTGTGAGACTTCTTTGGGCGTCCCTTGACAAGGTCGTGTAGGGGGGCTAGGACGGTGGCAGCTTTGTCAATGAAGCGGTGGTAGTAGTTGACTAAACCCAGGAATTCTCGGAGTTTCTTCGCCGTTTCAGGTTTGGGGAACTCCCTAATCGCAGTTATCTTCTGTGGTAGGGGTTGTATGCCACTGGGCGAGACTCTGTGACCGAGGAAATCGATGGCCTAGGTTCCAAAGACGCACTTAGCAGGATGAACTTTCATGTTGTTGTTCTGCAGGCGTTGGAGAAGGAGTTGTAGGTGGTGGCGGTGCTCGGCAGGCATCGAAGATGCGACGAGGATGTCGTCAATGTAGACGGTGACAAAATCGAGGTCGTGAAGCATATGGTCCATGTACCTCTGGAAAGTCTGTGCTGCATTGCGTAGGCCAAAACTCATGAAAGTGTACTCGAAGAGTCCAAACGGAGTGGTGATGGCTGTCTTCTGGGTATCTGCAGGTGCTACTGGGATCTGGTGGAAGGCACGCTCCAAGTCGATCTTCGAGAAGATTGTCTGGCCATGAAGTTTGTGGTGAAAGTCCTGGACATGCGGAATAGGGTACCTGTCCGGTTTGGTGACGAGATTCAGGGCTCTGTAGTCGCCACACACCCTCCACTCGCCGGGTGTTTGCTTAGGAACCATGTGAAGAGGCGATGCCCAGGGACTCCTTGAAGGGCGAATGATGCCGTCTTGCAGTAGTTCGTTGAATTCTACTTTGGCTGTGTTCAGGAGCTCAGGGCGCAGGCGGCGAGGGCGTGAAAAGACTGGTGGTCCTTTGGTTTCGGTGTGGTGGAAAATTCCCGATGTAGGTGGTGGGGGTAGAGAGACTTGGGGTGAGAAAAGCTCCTTGAATTCGTCGAGCAGGGAGGAGAACTCGTTGGAAGGCGCAAGACAGGTGATAGTGTCGGTGTGTCTGGCACGAGAACCCTGGATCTTGCGTGCTGTAGGCTCATGGATGAGGCATAGATGACTTGGTTTGACGCCGAGCTTGTGGAAGGTGAGGAAGTCGAAACCAAGGATGGGTTGAGACACGTCTGCTATCACGAATAACCAACGCAGAGTCTTGGGCAGATCGAGGTCTAAGGCGAGGGTGCGTACGCCGTAGGAGGCGATGGGGGTACCGTTGGCAGCGAACAGGTCATAAGAGGGTTGCTTTGACTTGTCTTGCAGTGAGGGAGGGATGAGGCTGACCGATAAACTTGTGTCGATGAGGAACTTCTTGCCGGAGGTGCGGTCGGTGACGTGCAGTAATGAGACGCCTGAAGGAACGGGGGCTGAGGCGTCTACCAGCCTCCGGTGTTGCCGTTTCCCGAATAGGTGCAATGGGGCTCACATTTTGAGCATTGCGGCCGAAAGTCAGGTGCTACCAGCAGAGGGTATATTTGTTGTGCTGGGGGCTGGCTGCTGTGCGTCGGAACTTGTAGGGCGTGGTGCATGAGTCAGGAACTGGCACAGCAACGGGTATGGAGGAGCAGAACTGCTCAATGGTGTCCATCCTGCGATTCAAAGTTTGCAACAGGTCCCTGATGTCTTGTGAGGTATTGCTCGGCTGAGGGGTGTTGACCCAGCTTACAAGTTCGGTGGTAGGTACTGGTGTGACCGTGGTGGCAAGGGGCGCAGCAGCGCACTCATTGAAAATTCTGTCTACCGCGATTGCATACAGTTCTGGTGTCGTAGAGTAATCTACTGCGGACAGGATGTTGCGTACTTGTGTGGGTAGCTTTTGTGCGTGAAGCTGGCGCAGGATAGTCAGGAAGTCTGTCTGTGTACCGGGAGTTCAACCTGCACATCTCTTCCCAGAAAAATCCCGGAGTTGAGTTTCCAAGGGAGATAGAAGATAGGTTCTGCAGGAGATTGGAGCGGGTCCGTTGGTAATGCGTTTTTAAGGCGTCCCGCAGAGTGGCGAATTTGTTGTTCTCTGGAGGGTTGGAGATGGTCTGTGAGACTTGTGTGGCGACTTCAGTGGGCAAGGAACAGAGCAGGGCGCCGTACATCTGCCCAACTGTAGCTGTAGAGCCGATGAGAGCTGCTTCGACATGAACTAACCAGTCCTCTACGTTGTGGTTGAAGGTTGGTAGAGAGATCCGTCCGTCCATTCTTGCGGGAGTATGTCACACCTGTTAGGGAAGGATGAGGGATGGGTGCTTGTTCCGACCCCCTTCTGTGTTCACAATCTCCTGGGAGGGAGGTGAACAGTTGCAGGGGGGACTTCGGGACGAATACACTTTTTAGGGTGCAGGTCCTTAGGCCAGAACTAAAAAAACAAAAGAAAAATAGGAGAATAGGCAAAAGAGCTCAAACCACGTTTGGAATATCGCACAATAGTTGCTCTCCAGCTGTGATGTGGGTCACTCACACCGCCAGTGGGGAGAACAGACTAATGCGTTATAAACCTTACGGTCGTGAGATGGTGTCGTTGTGTAGTGGTGCAGGTAAGGCGGTTGGCCTAGGCTGGCAGCAGGCAGGACGATCTTCTCAGCTCCAGTAGTAAGGCAGCAGAAAGGAGTGTGGTATTCATGGCTCCAGGGGTCACCAATTGTAGCATACTGTATGTGGCCAGTTGTCAATTCTCTTTGTATGGGCACACAAACGTATGTACATGTAGATATCTCACACTCAGGAATGAGGTAGGATAGAAACTCACAATGCGCTTTCTGTATATATATTGTTGTACAGCGCAGTGCTTAGGAGTGACTAGGTAAGGAGAAACTTGCTCAGAGGTCCTGTAGGGCGAGGAGGTTTCTGAGGAAGCTGAGTGGTGAGGAGCCGTGAGAGATGTTGCTGGTCCAGTAGCCGAGTGTAGAATGATCTCCCTGGCCAGGCATGGCAGTATTTATACATTTTACGAGGATCAGGATTTGGGGTGAGCGTAGCGATCGTACCCCTACGTCCTCTGCATAGACCTAGTCTCTCGGCGTAGTTGGCTGTACGCTGATTGGCTGGTAGGCGCGTGGCCGGAGCTCAGTTGGGAGTTGTAGGGGAGAGGAGCCACTACAAGGTTATGCCTTTTGGGATGGCTAATGCTCCTGCCACATTTCAGTGCTGCATAAATAACATAATGGCCAGTCTGGAGGGCACGTATTCATACCGAGATGATTTGGTAGTTATTCCAGATATGAGAAAGAGTCACTAACGTGTGATTCTTCCTTGTGCATTCGTATATTTGTAAGCCTGGGGCAGTTCCGGCCCACGCATACATACCAGAAAGGCTAATCTCACCAACAACAGAAATTATATTCAACCTGGTCGCTGTACACTCAACTATGAAAATCAGTGTCACAGGTCAGGTGAATTTCTTATGTCTATTGTTATAATCTAATCAGAGATTGAGTTTGTCAGGAAGAAGTGAAATGGACGTTAAACACGCACTAACAACTCTACTTACAGGAAACCACAAACCATAGCCAAGTAATTCTTCTTGGAGAGAGCCGTTAGGTCTTGGAGATTTTGAGTTTGACAGAATCTTTTCAGGAGATTAATGACTTTCTTAAATAGACAACTGACACTAACTACACTACAAGCATCAGATTCTCTGATGTTTGGGCATCAAAATAATCTAACTTCAGTAGCACTTGGAAACTCATGGCTATCCCCAAGGACGATATAAAGATATGCCACTCATACTGACAGACTTGACACTCACTTACTTGACAAGTTTTACCAACAATAAAGACAGTTGAAGCTTTCAACATAACTCACCATGGATCTTGAATGTTCCAACTGTAATCAGACATATCAAAGTTGTCTCAACATATGCAACCACAGTTGCAATATCAAATTCTGTCATTATACTCAGGAATAATGAAGTCTTGGGTGCATTCTAAGATTGAGAGAAAAGGTAGGACTCAGGCGTCCTGAAGCAATGAGAAAACAGACTTCTCAGATGGGGGACTCAAATAAAGAAAGCATAGCTACATGTTGTGTGGGCTATTGAACGTAATATGAATCGTCTGATTTTACGTTAACTAACGTGTACGACCGTGGTCATTACACAGTAAAACCAAATTTATCACAGTACCTGTACAGTTCTGTATAGAAATGAATATCAATCATACTTAGTTTGAAATTGCAAATACAGTTATAGCAATTATCATTCTTGAAAGATTTTAGAAGTACTGTACTGTATCTGCATTGAAATTGTAATTAAAGTACAAAAGACATGTGAAATAAATGAATGATTAAAATTCCCAAGTAAGAATGAGAATATAATACACAGTATCACAATATATTGTACAGTATATGAAATTCTAGCAAAAAATATGTTGAATCTGTGGGGTTATGAGATATTGGTTCACACTCAGGATGGGATGGAGAAAGGAAACTTACAATGTGCTCTCTGTATACATATTGTATTGGATGTACAATGCAGCTTATTGCTGGGTAGGCAGCATGGTTACAAGCGTTGAGTAGAGAGAGCTGGTTGGTGAGGGTGCCGGAGGAGGGCACGCGGCTGGAGGGACGCCAAGGTCGCCGGCGGGAGCGGGAGCCGCCAGGCTGGAGCGGAGGAGGAGGTGTTGCTTGCTGGTGGCAGTAGGTAGAAAGAGGGTGGTCACAGCGGGGTGAGGTCTTATAAGGCGGGGGTAAGCGTGGGTTGATAGTTGGCCCCCACTCCGTCAGGCGGCGCTGGAGGTGTCGGTTGGGGAATTCGAAAAGGGCCGGCTACTCAGGGACAAACGGCGCTTGTAGGGGAGGAATCCACTACAAATCTATTTTGGTGTCACAAGAAGTAAAAGAACAAAAAATCATAACAAATGTATGATCATGCAAAATATAATTTCACAACTCCATTAAGTGCAAAAAAAAACAGTAAACAGAGATAAAAAAAAGACAATGAAATTTCTCCAATAAGTATGAGTGTACAATACACAGTATCACAGTACTGTTTATTGTATCTGACATTATATCACAAATTAAGTTGAAAGAATCTACAGTTAACCCTCACTTTACGCGGTCCCACATTCCGCGTTTCCACGTTTACGCGGTGCCCTGCCGGAACCCAGGATGCTCACATTCTGCGGTGCGTGTACCCCTTTACGCGGAGAGCGGCTGGCGAGCCGCGCCATTTTTGGATCCAAACCTCCCACCATCCGCCATGTTGTGTAAGCTGTCCCAACATGGTGCGCACAAGGTCGCCCAGTCATCAAAACATTACCAGTTCTTCACCCGCCACCCACCACAGCCGGCCCAAGTCAGTGATAGTGATAATTATGGTGAGGATATGGACTTATATGGACTTTGGGGAGTTTGACAAAGAGGCCCTGCAAGCCTCTGTGGTGGATAGTGATACAATTGATACAAGTGACACAGGTGAGGGCCAATAATCTGCCCTCTGCCTCGGAACCAACCGCCCATCCCCGTGTGCCCAGCCATTTTTTCTACTGATGTAAGTGTTAAAAAACCTAATATTATTGATATTTCTCTTAATTATTAATTGTGTGTGCATACCATCATAAAGTTAAGATAATATTTTTACTACAACATAGTTGTGTGTCGTCAAAAAGTGGAGTTTGGGGATCGGCCCGGACTCCATTTCAATTAATCCCATTTGTTATGTTATTCACTTTACGCGTTTCTCACTTTACGCGGGACCCTCCGGGTTACATTAACCGCGTAAAGTGAGGGTTAACTGTATTTGTTTTCACAAAAGAACAAAACAAATGTTGGAACATAAAAAATATTTCATATTCTCCATTAAGTGCCTGAGAAAAAATAGTAAAGAGAGAGAGATAGAAAAATTTTCACAGTTTATACATTATCAATTATGACACTGATGGCAAAGTCTCCATAATTTAACTTGATTGCCCACAGCCAAAGGTGGACTTATGGCTGCACTCTTGACATATGCCACCAGTCAACAACTCTTATGCTTGCACTAAATACATTACTCACAGATTGGGCTGATAATGTATTGAACAAACTAGTGAAGGCCTTTAAAGCCTCCAATATAGCACCATTCAGTTCTTGTATACTGTCCTTAATAATGGTAATAAAGCATTCATTCCTCTTGTTCACCTGCTTCCTTATCTTCTCCCTGTCACTGGATGTTGATGCTGCTGTTGGTGGCATGGGTGATCCTGATGTTGGGTCAGTTGATCTAAGTGTTCCTGCTGGTGCAGACGCTGGCATAATTGGTGGTGGTGACTGCCTTCTCCCTTGCAGACGAACTTTTATCTCCACAACTCATGTTTCTGCTTCAATTTTGGCATACAGATCGACCTGGTTTGTTTATATTTATCTTGGATAAGGCGTACCAACCCTCTTGACTTGCGGCGTTCAGGTTACTAAATAGTAACCCAATGTTCGGGATTGATATTCGAATTTGACGAATCCATTTGACGGGTTACCAAACAGTAACCCGACATTCGGGATTGCTCTTCGGGTTTGCTGCCCCGAGTGTTTAAAAAAATGGCCGATTGTCAGAGCAATCCAAGGGTGAGTTACTTACGGTGGGAAATGTATCCATTTCATGTTTGTGTCCGAGAGTCATTGTCGAGTAACGTCAATATAGTAAGGTGTCCATGCCATTGAGTGAATAATAAATACTGTAGTTGTACTTAGAATTGGTGTTTAAGAGTTTTTCCCTGCGAATATAATACCAAGAGTAAATAACTAATCGGCCAAGCTAGTAACGTCCATATATATTTATTAATGCTTTGTTACACTGGCGGCAGCGTACTTAACATAAACCCATGCCCTCCCTCGTTTAGCCATTACACCTGGCACGCCTCTCTTTTCATTGAATTCAGTTCGAGTTTTGTTTAACCGTGTGCGGTAAGGAACCCCGAGTAGTACAGCGTGAAAAGTGTCCGCGTGCATCATCATTACAGCTCAAGTAAATGTTTCTCATTGTGGTATGTGGAAATTGTTATTAGCATAACACTCTCCCCAGAATATATTCAGTGTTTGATATAATTTAGCAGTGTCCCCCGTGATTAGTAACATTCTCAGTGTTAAATCTACCCATTGTGTTTTAGTGATGGAAGCTGTGCCTATACTAACCTAACATGTCTTATTACCTACAACCTCCTCCCTGTCATAATCTCCACTCCACCTGCCCCACCCGCTTCACACAACCTGATGCCCCCCACTCCACCCCGTGTGACATCACTAATTCGCAGTCTGTTTTGTCCTACAAGCTATGCTTTGAAATCGATGGTTCATGTACTGTAATAATTTGATATTGCGATATTTGCAGAGCTTCACTCAGTGTATTTTTTGGCTACTACAGTATGATTTATAATGTATTCTTTGACACGTAGTGATAAATAATATTCAGCATAGTGAGCAGAGCTTCACTCCCCGAACCAGCCTTGAGAACATTGTCGCAAAGAACCATAATTGCCAAACATTGAAGTAATGTACAGCTCCTCCCTGACTTACGACCTACTCGACTTACGACCTGCCTCAGTCGTACCAAAATTTTAAGAAATTGCGTATTTTCGAGTCCCAATGTCAGTACAGACAAAATTTTCGTTTGTAATTCCCTTTAAAATGGTTGGCAAACATAAAAGTGAGAGTTCTCGTGGTGCTGAGAAGAAAAAGACACCCAGAAATTTATGTAAATCTGCCCAAAGATACAGTTGAAAAATTTTTACGTTGTTAAAATATACTATGAACTAAAATTTTTATCTCTTGTGCAAAATATATGATGTTTATATTCAATTAAATCACTATATTATAAGAATTCCAGCAATGTAAATTATATTTTCCCCGGTCACTTCTATGACATTTTACAAGTAAAAACAAAAACTCAATCTAAAGGACATAAATAAACAAATAAATACTTCACTAGTCCTTCAGCTTAACTGTCAAAAATGTCACTCCTCCCTCCCTCCCTTCCAGCAAGGGTTTGGTGGTTATACATAGGCTTTAAGTTTTTATCTTATATAATATCACAGACTAAAGTTAGAGAATATAATTTGCATTGCTGGAATCCTTGCAAGGCAGTGAATAATTTGAATATAATGTCATATATTTGCACAAGAGATAAAAACTTTAGTACTGTCAAACATATCACCTCACCTCCTGCTCCACCCCCCACATTCCTCCCTCCCTTCCCATCTGCCCAACCAGGATTTAGGCTACAGTTTTTATCTTATATAATATCTCAGACTAAAGTTAGGGAGAACATAATTTGCATTGCTGGAACTTGCAAGACAGCAATAATTTGAATATAAACGTCATATTTTGGTACAAGAGATAAAAATTAATCACCTTTATCACATTACAGTAGTGATTTAAGAGTAGAGTATATATATATATATATATATATATATATATATATATATATATATATATATATATATATATATATATATATATATATATATATATATATATATATATATATATAAAGTTGCACTCCTAAATTCCTTAAAAAAAAAAAAAAAAAAAAAAAAAAAAAATATATATATATATATATATATATATATATATATATATATATATATATATATATATATATATATATATATATATATATATATATATATATATATATATATATATATATATATATATATATATATATATATATATATATATATATATATATACAGTGTATGTAGTTAGAGTGTGTATTCAGTGCCTTTGAGTTTGCCCCCACACACACACACACACACACACAAAATACATATTGCAGTGACTCACTTATATATATTTTTTTTTATTAGAAATACATCTCTGCCTGAGGATGTATTAAACGAAAGTACTTGCTGCTGTCTTTCCTTTCTCCAGTGGTTATTGTGCATCTATTCTTCATGGTGATGAAGTTTCTGCATATATATATATATATATATATATATATATATATATATATATATATATATATATATATATATATATATATATATATATATATATATATATATATATATATATATATATATATATTATTTTAGGTTAGGTTAGGAATCCGTTACATAAAACAATTGTACTGCACCGTTATCTTTTATTGAGTATGATCTAAAATCACGGTATAATGACACTGTCTCACTAGTGTCATTATCATCTAAAATGATTAAAATCACAGCAATGTAAAAATAACAGCTTGATCTAAACTCACGGTATAATGACACTAGTATCAATGTAATACAATGGAAATGTAAAAAGTAGCAACTTAATCTAAAATTACAGACTCAGAGTACAGTGAAAATGGATGTCTGACATAAGCCCCCCCCCCGACGAAAGCCACCCAGACAAAAGCCCCCCAGACAAACGCCCCCTACTTTGATCGGGGTGGCTTTTGTCTGACAACCCCAACCTAACCTAACTTAACCTAACCCTAACCTAACCAATAATTAACCACAGAGAAGAACAGTATATTTTACCCTCAACTATTTAATTATGTCCGTAACTTTTGAAAGCCCTTACTGTCCCCAGACAAAAGCCACCCCGATCAAAGTAGGGGGCTTTTGTCTGGGTGGCTTTCGTCTGGGGGGCTTTTGTCTGGGTGGCTTTTGTCGGGGGGGCTTTTGTCTGTACCCCAGTGAGGATAGTGTCTTAGTATAAAATCGCAATGCTGTGAAACAAAATCTCAATATTTAATCTCAGTACCCCAGCAAAAGTCACATCAATATTTTTTAACCAATACTTTAATATTTCTTACCTTATAGTATTATGTCTTCCAACGAAGTAAATAACTGGATCGAAAACACAAGAGAACTTAAAAGTCGTCAAGCCTCCCCTCGTCTTGTCACGATGGAGA